GCCTGATAGATCTCTTACGGAGTGCCTACGTTGCTGGGGAACGGTATGTGCGAATCATCTCGTCACCTGGGGGTAGTTGGGCTGATAGGTGGTCTGTGGTACGAAGGATTTTTGGGACCTCCCCAGTCTCACTCTTTGGCCGACGTTCCTGCCTCCGTAATATTAGTCGTTGTGTTGAGGCCGGGGGAGACTTCCTCTTTGGTCCTTTGGTTGTCACGCTCAGTGGCAGGGCTATCCACAAGGGTAAGCTTTGTCTTCTGATCCAGCAACCCTGGCGACGGAGGGAGCTCGACAAAAGGTCGGTTGATGGGTTGGTCCGTTTATTCAAAGCTGCACGGGCCTTTTCTCGAAAGGACACTCGCATGGCTTTGAAGACCATCGTGACTCTTGTTGTGAAGAAGAAGATCGGATTTGATATCCGTAGGAAAATTGTGGTACATGAGGTGTTTGATCACAGACTGCAGTCTAGATCTGTTTTAGACATTGTGTCTCTGATTATTGATGAGTCTGTCGTTCCCTTGTCTGTTCGAGATCTCATGAAACGCCGCGTTCGTTTTGTATGGAAGAGGAATATGAAGGTTGGGGATCTGATTTGGACACAGAATAGCTTTGTGCGTGGGGACGCTCCTGTTGTGTGTGCTTGTGATTTTGAGATTGATTGGAAGCATCATGGGATGCATGTTATGTCCCGGATCGGCGACATTCCTTTCTTACCGAACCTGTTCGAAAATTCTCGGAACATTCCTCTCTGGGAATGGGGAATGGGTATTATTGGTCTAGGGAAGGAATTGGTCGCAATTTGCAGGACTATGCGGTCTTTGCTGAATCGCTGGTTATTGACCCTCGACTCCTGCATGGATGCTGGTCTGATTTGCAACAAAAAAATTCGTTGTTGAACTCTCGTATGAGGCTATGGATCGAACGTTTGCGCAGGTTTGTTTGTGTACCAATTGATCGTAACTCTGCTGATACCTTGGTTATCTGTCCCGAGTTGTATCGACATTTTTTGCGGATTGCATTTGATTTTAGTCCTTCTTTTCGGTCATCCGACGTATCACAGGAGGTGGTATTGGGACGAATGAAGGAGATTTTTTGCGGGCTTAAGCTGGATCGTTTGGGGAAATGGGATCCTAAGGGTAGTTTTGGTTTTGCCTACGTCCTGCCAAAGCACAAGGATCTCCTTAGATGGAGGCCTATTTCCCCGACATTTACTGAGCCAACTCGCCCGATATCTTCTCGTGTAGCTAGGGCTTTGAATTGTCTTCTTTTTGCGTTACCGTGCAAGACGAGTTTCAATCTCAAATCTGTTGATATGTTTACTGCAGGGCTGCATAGGATGAACGATAGGATTGAGAGGTCTCCTGATGTTCGTGATGTCGTTTCGGCCTCCTTTGATGTGAAGGACATGTTCGTTTCCCTGCCGCAGGATGATATCCGGTATGATGTGTCTTGGTTGCTGTCTCATTACCGGCATAAGGGGTATTTGGGGGTAAATCTGTCTCGGCGCGGCAAGGCGGCCTTTTTGTCCCTTTCTTCTCATTGACCCGATTGTATCAGGGTCTCCCTKCGATTGATTGAGGAGATGGTGTCCTTTGACTTGCAATTCACTTACGTCTGGTCTGAAAGTAAGTTTCTGAAGCAGGTTATTGGCATACCGATTGGAAAATCCACCAGYTGTTCCTTGGCCTGTATCCTTGTGCCTGCGCTGAGAACCGTTTTCTTCACTCATTAGTAGCCGATCAGCGACAGGTTTTTGGATTTAGGATCGTTGATGATGTCACCAGTTTTATTGCAGTATTGGGTAGAGATGGTCTCTTACATGTTGAGCACATTCTGGAGGCATTCAAATCCTGTTATGGAACTCACCTCAGACTTGAGAGGACGAACGAAGGTCCTGAATCCTGGACTTTTGCGGCAATCCTGGTCGAACGATCAGGAACGATTGTCCGAACTTCCGCTATTGTGAAAAATGCCGACAGCCTTTGGAAGCTGAGCTGTCTTACTTTTGGCTCGTTTCAGGATTTCGAGTCGTATTCCTCTAAGCAGGCCAAAGTTGGTGTCATTACTAGTACGTTGCATCAGATTTTTCAGCTTTCCTCTGATAGATTCGGGCGTATGACCGCCTTTCTCGCTGTTCGACGGGAGCTGGTGCTACGGAATTACCCGACTAGACTTATTAACCAGGCATTTTCTGGATTTGCCGAGAAATCTKGTTCGGTGGAAGCAGCTATTGTGGCACRAATGACCACGTAAAGGCTTAACTGGCGGTTTGGCCTGTTTGCCTTACGCAGGGCTCCGTAGGCCCGGTGTTCTTTGTCTGGTCTTTGTTTAACTGGCGGTTTGGCCGGTTTGCCTTACCCTGGTCTCTGAAGGCCCTGTGGTCGGTGTCTATTTTTTGCTTCGTATTTCCCTCGGGAGTTTGCGATTTTGCGATTTCGGGACCTGCTTAGGCCAGGGACTCGGGTTTTTCCTTTTTTTCTTCGGCAGTTTAAGGCTTCGTAGTAGGGGCCCTCAGTTGGGCTCGGGGGGGCGCTGTCTGATATGCCAGGCCTATGGCTGGATTAACGTCGTCGGACCCCATCSGTGGCACATCCGGTTTCCCGCCCACCCGACCATTTTACGGTTTCCCGCCAGGAGTCTTGCTCTGGGTTTCTGACGACTGATGCTTTTTTCAAACGATTACATCTTTGCTTCTACTATATCTGGGTTGACACGCTCCCACGTTTCCTCTTTCATTGATGAGTGCGCCTGAGTGCTGCGGCATCGCTTGACGACCCGGCTTGATTTCCGTGACGGGGGACCTGTCGCTGTTTGGTTTGAGGGACTTCTACCATGAGTAGCGGCCTTTCTCCCAGGATGGGAACGTGCAGAGCACTTTCCTCAGTAATGGCGCTGTCGCGCCTTCTGCCATGGACGATTTGAAGGGCCTATATGGCCGATGTTCTGCGATGTGCGATCAGAGTGCTTCTGGAGCAAGCTCTTCGGTGTTAATGGCGCTATCTACCCTATCCTGGCGGAGTGGAGCGCCCGCTCTTTCGTGCTACCTTGTCTTGGCTGTTTTTCCTGTGTGTTTTTGTTCCGTGTTATGTGGCTGTCTGTGCAGGAATCTGGATCGATCTTTGAACCAAGTTCTGCTCCTCTTTTCCGGAAGAATGGGGTTCTGCCGCGTGTTTTTGGATTTGGACGCTCTATTACGCGGGGGAGATCTGGGTTTCTTCTTCTTAGTACTACCATCGGAAGGATGTCCATTAGTAAAGTTCGCGTGTACCGGGGTAGGATAGAGCATAAAAGGAGGCAAGGCTATGGGAATGGTCTCCTTCGTCGAACTGTTTTCGATGATGCAAGGTACCTCCTGATGACGCTACTGGCGGGGTAGCAGAAACGCGTCGAGGAATCCGCAGTTGTGTGGAATGATTTGGTGGTGTGGGCTTCGGCTCCCTGGTTTGAGGGAATTTTTTGGCCATGAACTTCAGTTGTAATCTTTCGTTTTGGCATAGCCAGGTGCTTCATGTGTAATCCTTTGGCCATGGTGTGTTGCTTGTATTGTCATACTTGTTTCGTTTTGCGTGCGTACAGGATCATGTCTTGTGGGTGAATTTCTCTATCCTGGATCATGCGAGAGGCTATTTGCCGACAGTTCCTCTTCTCTTAGTAACACGGTATYCGTGAATGCGGTTGAACATTMGTTGGTGGCCGCGCCTACGACTTGATGGGGGGAGGGTTGGTGTGCTATACGTCCTTTGATTTCTCTGTTTCATTTGGAGTGTTCTCTGCGCAACTTGTTGTCTTCAGGCTAGTCCTGTTCATCTTGGACGTGCGTTTGCTCCTGTTTTACTTTAGGATTGGTTGGTTCTCTTCCGTAGTAGTATGACGCGTATCCTCTTGCGGTGTGCTTTTCTTATCGAGGATCACCTCGTCCGGGTGATTATTATGTACGACGAAGAGGTTGGGAGGTGTGGCGTTTTCATGAGGATCGACTAGGCTGACATTCCCGGCTGTTCCGAGCACCTGTTTCCATTTGTCCCATGGCTAACAATTTGAAATGCTTCTCCTGTGGAGGTGACGACCATTTTGCTCGGGAATGTCCGACGAATCGGCCTAATCCTGGCGACGGGGCAGGGAATGGACCTTCTACTCCTACTCCAGCTACTCCTCGTTTCTGGACACCGCGTCGCAATCCGGAGGATCTTGAGGAGAAGGAGTTCCTCCGTACTCTCCTTAATAAGCGCACACAACAGGAGGCTCTCAAAAAGGAGATGGAGGATCGTCAGCGTATTCAAGAGCAACTTAAGGTGGAAACAGCGCGCCACGCTGAGGCCACAAAAGCTGAATTGCTTGCTTTGTTTGGACGACAATTCATCGCCAATCGGGACGAGGCTAGACGCGAAGAGATCCGGATAACGCGGACGCCGCCATCTTCTAGGCGGAGGGATTTGCGGGATGATGAGCACGGTGAAATGGACGATATCGATGACGAAATTCGACGTTTGTACGCTCTCCGGGAGAAACGAAGGAGGGGCAAGGCTCCTGCTTCGGAGGGGGTGGCCTTTCGGCAGCCTACCTTTAATTTGGATGGTTCTCCCGCGGATGACGCGCGCACTYGCGCCGAGTTTTCCAGGCAGGCGGAGGACAGGCGAAAGAAAGTTCCGGSGGGCGAAGGGCMCGATGGGATTCTGCATTACATCCTTGAGCAGCACAGGACACYGGAARGGCTGCGTCAAGATCAGTTGAAGAAGATTTGCATCAACGAGGGCCTTCATTATTGTACTAAAGGACCCTCCATCAATCGAATTATAGCTGCGCGCACCAAATTGGCCTATGAAGGGTTTGTTGTGGTTCCTTCTCGGGCCGTTGCGGCCTCTCCACCTCTTTCACTTGAGAACGCTGAATCTAACCCCTCATGACTAGCACGTTTTTCCTCCTTTCATCTTTGGCGTAATCTTTTGGAAGTCATGAGATACCGAACGAATGCCTTTGTGTTGGATTTACCTTCTTGAATTCGGCTGCTTTATGATAAATGCTGTACGTTGTGTTTTATGGCTCTTGCCTTGGTGGGTGAGATCATTTGGTGCCGTAAGTTTGAAGATTTGATCCGTTCTCTTAACTGGCTATCCTGGGATAAGGGTCCAGTCGTGTATCTCTTGTCCTCGCCTTGGTGTCGAGCACAGTATGTGGGAAGTACTGTTCGCAGCCTCTATGTCCGATGGGGGGAACATGTCCGAACCTCATTCTCTGGGGGGCAT